GATGTGCTGGACTTTCTGGACTTTCTCTGGCTGCGTTGCAAACGCCTTTGAAAACATATGTTGCATAGGAGGATATTTTAGAAGGGAAGATAACTGGCTTTGAGTAAATGCTAGGAGAGTTCTGGCTTTTGAGGGTTAATATACCAGGCATAAAGTATTTAAAAAAAAAAAAAAAAAAAAAACCACAGCAGAGCAAAAGAAGGGAAATTAGAGCAAGGACATTAACAAAACTGTTGTGGCTGTTAAACAGCAATTAGTGTGTATTTATCACAAGATACAAATGGGTTGGAATTTTAATACAGTGTTTTACTTTTTCTAGTTATAATGAAACAAGAGCACAGAGATGAGATGGATTTGTCTGCTGTTCCATCTTTGGCCCTGCCTCATACAAGCAATGTCCAGGGCCTGCATTCTATCCGAACTCAATTGCCTTCACCAGAGCAAGGGCATCCACATGACAATTTACTGTCTACATCACCCAGGAGCCTTGTATGTCCAGTTCAACCACCATACACAGCAATGGTGACCTCAGCAGTATCCCACCTGCCACATATGCAAGGCAGAAACCTTAGTCCGAGTGAAGAGTGTCATGTTTTGCCTCCTGCTGTGGTTCAGTCTTTTCAGGTAACATCAGCACCTCCTGTGAGGCCTTCTTACCAGCCTATGCAGTCTAACGATGTATACAATGGACAGTCTGGTCTTCCTATGAACTCTGCCTCCAGCCAAGGATTTGATACTATTTCCTTTCAGCAAGACACTGCTGTACCTCATTTGATAAATCTTAGCTGCCAAGCTCTACCACCAATGCAGTTTCATTCTTCAAATCCAGGTTCTGTGTCAACATCAAGTACAGCAGGGCACCCACTAGCACACCCAGCTCATTCAGGACAGTCGTCTTCTCACCTACCATCAATGGGGTACCACTGCCCGAGCGCTGGGCAGGGCTCCATCCCTTCTGCAATGAGTCGGTCCCTTGGGCAGTCTTCTCCCCAGCTGCAACAAGTCCCATACCACTCTACAAATCCAGCATCCGCATCATCCCCATCCCCAACAGCTTCCCACCCTTTGGTCCATTCACCGCTGTCTGGACCTTCTTCACCCCAGCTACAACCTCTGCCTTACCAATCTCCTAGCTCAGGACCTGCCTCATCTCCCCCACCAACCACTGTAAGTCACTCGGGACAGCACTCCCCTCAAGCGCATAGTCCAGCACTGGGAGGCCTTAATGCAGCGTCATCCCTAGTACACCATACCGTATGCGATTCATCTCCATTTTCACCAGATGGGGCAGCTATTAACATTAAACCAGAACCTGAAGATCGAGAATTGAATTTTCAAACCATAGGACTACAAGACATCACGCTAGATGATGGTAAGTGGATATAATACTTTAATACTGGGATACAATCTACATTAAAGTACAAAGTGGGTATGGGAGGGTTGTTTTGTTCAGAACACACTCCTCTTCACAGAATTAAATTTGTATCATCAAAATGGGTTTGTATTTTTGTGTCCAAAGCAATGACTTGTTTAAAACTAATGATGTCAGCTGTAAGTTTGTAGTTATACAGTTCAAGTACTTTAGTCTAATTTGCCCATAGACTTTGATTTTTGTCATAAAACAGGGCTTGAGTATTAACTCCTACACGTTGATACCTTATATATAAGGAATTAATTTGAAGCCTTTTCTGATTCTCTTGGTGGTATGTTTCAGTGAAAGTCATAATAATATATCTAAGTGATGTAAATGTGGTTTGGAGTCTTGTTTCTTGGACTTGTCCCAGTTTTGAATGGCAGGCTAGTTTTTTGAAAATATATCACATGCATTTTGGCATTGTCTTAGTCTCTTCACAGATATTCTGTAGATATGCTGTCATCATTCAGCACCTCTGCTCACAGTAGCTCTTTGCTTTCTCCTTACCACTCTTCCTACCTTTTTGAGAAATTCACTTGTTTAACATAGTGCTAAAGGCCAGGCTTTGAAGTTCTCTACTTTAAGTACTTGGACAGTGTTAATTTACAAAACTTGTCCACCCAAGTGAAAAGAAAGAGATGTCAGATCCTAAACGTCAGGCTACTTGAAGCATAGATGCAAAGCAATTTAAAGAACATGTCATGTTATAAGACTGGAAGAACAGAAGGCCTGGCCTGAAATGGTGTTTGGTATTGATGATGGGAATCTTACTGGTATCTCTTTTGTACAATAGCCTTAACTGTTGCGGTGTTTTTTGGGTTTGTTTTTAATCATCCATAGTAATTACTTAATTGCATCAGCAGTAATGTAAAGACTAAGCGTAGGCCATCTGTCAGATACCCATGTCAGTCCCAGTTCCTTGCATAAATGGACTTTTGCTGTTGTGACCTCCAGTCAGTAGTACGAAATGCATTTAAAGACACAGCATACTAAGAAGAGAATGAGAGAAACTGATAATAGAGTTGGGCTTTCGGTTAAATGGCCACCCTAATTAAACAAAGCTCTCTTCTTAGAAACACTTGTTTATCAATCAACTTAACTTTATTTAGAAAGGAAGGAAGAGATTGGTTCTATCAAGGACATGCTGAGGGGAGAAGAGCAAGGCTTTATGAAGCAGAATGCGACAGGAAAAATAGCATTTTCTACTTCTGTACTAGAGGAGTGAGAAATCTAATGTTTCAAGCAGTGTCATGTTCATGTTAGAACCTACCTTTTTTTCATCCTTCTTCCCTCCACACCCACAAAACCGATGTAGAAATAAATAAAATACTACTAAATACTGTACTTAAGCTTTTCACAATATAAGCAGAAGTGTTTAGCATTTATGAGTACCCTGGCAGTTTGTTTACACTTGTTCAGAAATTAAAATGAATGCATGGTACAAAGAAATTCAGGTTTTTTTCCCCTATATCACAAATATTAGTTGCTTTTAGAAACTATTTCCATTGCTTAACACAGTGAAATTGCTGAGTTGTTTCTGTGCTGACAGAGACATCAACTCGCAGGAAAAGCTGCAAGAGCCACAAGTAAAGCATGGCCACTTGCTAATAGTTTAGGGAAGTATAATCAATATACATATGAGTCAGATGGCCACAGCTGTATTAATTTATTTTTTTAAATAATGCTGCCATAGAAGTCTAAAGAAGGTCTGATAACTGGTGATTAAAGTATACGCTTCCTATATGGAAAATTGAACATGGTTTTAAATGCTAACCTGGCACTTGGCAGCAGCAATACATTTGCAAGCATAGAGATTACCTGCATTTCAGTTTCATATTACCGCCGTTCGATGATTGCTTGTAGGGGGTGGGTTTGGGGTTGGGGTGGGGTTGGTGGTTTTTTTTTTTTCATTCCAATCTGCAAACACAAATCAGATGTCTAGCCCGAAACCTGCTGTTCCAAAAATCTTGAAGGGCATAGTGAAAGGGCATATTGACAAGAAAAAAGCTGCTCAGTTCTCTCAACATGAGTAAATACTTCCTCTGCTTCATCAGCTTTAAATAAAAAACATGTTTAGACAGGAACACTTTTTTCATAATGTATCTAACATAATACTGTGGTTTAAAAAATTTCAAAATGTTTCTTTTGTGTATAATTGAATTTTAGTTTCTGTACAAATAGAGCTAGACACAAATAGCAAATGAGTTATTCTACATTAATGTTGTAACAATTAAGGGGAAAAAATCCAAACATAATTGCATACATAAATGAATATTGATACAGTGTGTTCTCCTAGCTAATATATCAAACCTGAAAGCTATATTTAATTGGAAAAGAGGTTTTTAAGGGTTACTAATTAAGGTGAATAAACCTCTCAAAACACTAAGGCAAAGCCAACTGAAAATTTTATAAATTATGTCTGGATTACTGACTTAAATATTTAAGTCAGTAGTCTTAAAAAAATAAACAAAAAGCCCTGACAGCTTAAATAATCTTTTCTTTTAAGTAACATGTGCTATTTCAAAATTAGCATAGTAGATATTTTCTTTGCCAATAAAATAAAATATTTTAAGAAATTTTAACAAAATTTGAGTGTAGTATGGTAGTGCTACCTCATGACAAAATTAGTCCTGGAATTACTAAGCTGTTTAGTTTGACAGAGTATGCTTTTAAAATTCTTTAAAAAACAAACAAAAAAACCCCCTCACCTCACCTACAGAAGTGGCAGTCTGGATAGCAGTTACATAAATTCCTTTAAGCAAGACTCTTAAAAGTGAATCTTACTGTCTCTTCAGCCAACATTCAGGCTTTTTCTTCAAAACACACCAAAAAAATCCAAATCCGCTACTTAATACAGAACTACAAAGCTGCTTCATCCATTGGTGCTCAAGTCAAGAGCACCTGGCTTAGTGTTGATCCAGCATCTCCTGGAAGGTGTGACACATCTGGATTCACCATTTATAGCTTCTTTGCAAAGTCAGATATGCTTACCAATGACCAGAATGGGGTATCTTAAATTTTGTTGTATTCCTTTGCCCTTTACTAGTTAGAGCAAGCTGGGCTCTGTTCAGACTATGAGTGAAAAAGGATTACATGATTTAAAGGCAGATCCTCTACCTCTACTGGGTGTCTGAATAAAGTACACTACTTCTTCCACCCCAACCCCACCCCCCTTTCTTTTTTCCCTACTGAAGTTTGTGTGGCTCTTTGTTTTCTTGTTTTTCAATAGGATCTGATTGATGTTTTTAGACTTTTCTAATCTCCACCTTGAATTTGCTCTTCTGTGTGGCTTCCCCTCTTCACATCCTTGCTCCCTACAGGAAACACTTTCTAATTCACTTGAAGAAACAAGGGATCAAAATGCATGAGGACACCTAGATATGAAATTCAAATGATATTACAGAAAACATTTGAAACATAACACAATTTCAAAGTAATTTCTACTGTATGCTACTACTTGAAAGGTGTTCTGAAAAACAGTACTCTTTTCTGCTTAGGTCTTTGCAATCTGCACAAGCTGGTAAACTTTTGGACTGGAACTACATAAAAGCAGCTTCTTGCTCTTTATTTGTCCCCTCTGCTTTTCCTCCCCTGCCTGATATGTTGGACCTTCTTTTTCCCTTAACATCTTTCAGCAAGTCTGCCCAACTCCCCAGGCTAGCATTTCCCTATATAGGCAGCATGGAATATTTAGGGCTGCAAATAGGTGTAAACAAGGCAGCTGAAATGACAAGAAACAGGCAGTTGGTCATTTCTGTCCTTTCCCATCTCCATCATCCATGCTGTGCTCTGTTGTATACTCATCTAATAAAGCTCCCATTTCTTCCCCACTTGGAAAAAAAAAAAAAAAAAAAAAGCTAGTCAAAGTTAGACTCAATCTAGTTATATGATGAGGCCCTGTTATCTCCACACCCCACCCCACCCCCCTTTTTAAAAAGTGCTCCTAGTCTGGTGGTTTACCTATCCCACTGTCAAGTTTTAGATTTGAGTCTATTCTAATACTGTTGATCTAAAATTCAGTCTCCTATGGTTTGCAGTTTAGGAGTGAGTTTGAGTTTACCTTGGATTTCATGGCTTTCTACAGCAATGTGACTTCTAACATGTACAATTGTATTTAACCATTTTTAAGGTATTATGTTAGGCTGTATTGAGCAATTCAGGATGACCTTCTACTAATCCTCTTACATTTTGTTACTCATTGCATCTCCATTACATAAAGCTGGAGATTAGAAAATCCACTATGTGGATTTACTATAAATCATAACTAGAAATCCTCTAACCATTTTGTGTACATAAAGGAGTAAGTCTGCTTTGTCAGACACATTCCATGTAGAATTCTAAGCCATTTGCATTCATTCATTTTAATAGTTCTGTGATAACTTTCTAGTAGATAAATTCTCTTGCTGGGAAGCTCAGAGATTATTCTGATCTTTGCTAGAAAATTTGTATGTCTTTACAGGTGGCTTTTTACTGTAGCTTCAGCTTAACTTCTGGAGAATCACAGTAGTAACTAATGAGAAAGTACTGGAGAATGGCTGTACTTTCTATTTCTATACGTACTTAAAACTTAACAGGCCATTCTTAATTAAGGCAGCATCCTGCCAAACAGAGCATTGAAGGTCTACAGAAACACAAAAAATACTGAATGCTAGAGTCTAGCGTAGTATGGAAGAGAGCGGCTCAAAAACCTGTCTTGCTAGTGCAACTCAAACTTGAGATGTTCTCAAGATGTACATCTCAAACTCAAGGGGTTTTTTACTGTCTCCTAAGCACGGAACGAAATGTTGCATCTTGCAGCAAGCATGCCTGACATGGATTTGTGTGACAAGAACTCTAGCCTACATTGTACACAGAACTCTCAGAATATTCCTGTTGATAAAAGGCATTCCAAAAACTACACTAGCATAAATTGTTTAGTAAGTTTGTGTTCAAATTCCTCCTTTCTTAGTATTCCGTCT